AGGCACCCCTGTTGGATGCTATTTGGACTTTTCTTACTAAGACTTTTTTTGAGAGCAAAAAATCAATTATCACTGGACTTTACTTGGATTTTACCCATGAAGATTTCTTTGAGAGTGGTGCTCCATCTTCTGTGTACTGGGGATTCTGGTAAATTGTATACTATGTGCTCTTTGGATATTATAATTTCTCCTTACATAGATTGTTTTGTGTTTGTGTTTGTTCTGATACCGTACAAGTATTCTAGGATATTGTATAGTAGTTTGGCCTATAAAGCCCTAAACAACCCTGGCCCAGTTTACATGTCCAAATGCATCTTGCTCTATGAACTACCATGGAGATTAAGATCTTCTGGGAAGGTCCTGCTCTCGGTCCCACCATCGTCATGGGCGTGAATGGCAGGGATGAGAGAGACGGCCTTCTCAGTGATCGCCCCTTGGCTATGGAACTCCCTCCCTGGTGAGATTAGATCAATCCCCTCCCTCCTGTCCTTCAGAAAGATGCTAAAAACTTGGCTGTGGGACCAAGCCTTTGGTACAGTGCAATAAGTCAACAATAGGAAACTGTACCCTGCTGATCTGAGATGGTTTAAAACAACTGATTTTAAAGTGAAGATGTTTGCTTTTAGTGTTTATATATATTTATAGTTTATTTTATGTTCTGGCATTGAATGTTTACCGTATTATGTTGTGTTCCACCCTGAGTCCTCTTCGGGTGAAAAGGGCAGAATATAAATGTTTTAAATAAATAAATAAATAAACAAACTTCACTGAGTTTTCTCAGCCAGGAAATACAGAAATCAGAAGTGGTTTGCCAGTTACTTTAGGCTGCACTAGATATCAACATGAATATATTCAACACGACTAACACACACCATGAATATTCAAACAAGGAAGTATGTGCTACTTGTCCCCCTGAATATTGTATTTCTTAGGTGGCATTCATTTTTTTTAAAAAAAATTGTTGTTGCTGTTCTTCCTTCTGTGCCTATACTATTCTCAGCCTCATTTGTCTTCACTTCCTTACAATCTGATTAGCCTCCATGGTTTCCTCTGTAGACCTCTATGATCTCTCCCTGCCAGATGTAGCATTATCATGACCAAATCAAAGAAAACATCACTGTGCAATGACAGGACTCGGAAATGGGCTCGCCCTACATATCCCGAGGCCTTCAGAGAGCCAAATTTCACAATAATGACATCACATTCTTTGAAGAATGCCTATCAATTCATCTGTTCCTAAGCTCATTTTCTTACTCCAATAAGATGAAGTTATTGTTATTGGAGTGAGTAATTCAATTTCCCAATAGATGAGTCCCCGAGATTAACTCTGGATCACTGAGAGTTTTCAACAAGCTGTCCGTAATGAATGAAAAAGTCATGCTGCAAACATGTCAGATGCAAGGGGCACGGTTCAAGGGGGATTAAACTGTAATAGGAGAGCATGTCTTCCCCTACACTCCCATCTGACTGAGCAAAATTGTCATAAAGCCCCTTTGAGTCTTTCCTGGCAGAGGCAACTGGATAGATATAGAAGGGGTCTAGAAGGGGAATACAGTATAACCCCTAAATCTGTGGAATCAGGACCTGCAGTTTCAATTGTCCACAGTTGTGATACTGTAACATCTGGAAGACTGTTTAGTTAGGATACTGGGGTTTGGATTTAGAGAGAAGGCTTGTGGATATGATGTCTGATTTTAAAATGCTCTTTAACCTTTTGCCAACATCAGAGCCACAATTGCAGTTTAGCTGAAATTCCCATTATCCCCAGTCCACATGGTGAATAATTGATGGGAGTTGTCATTCAATAACATCTGGTGACCCAAATGGTTGCTAAAGATCACCAACCACTGTAAAAAAAATATTGTTGGCACTCTCTCACCATCTGCTGGGACCAAGACATGGTGGAAATGTGTCTGACTGCTATCCCTTTTTCATGACTAGAAAAAAAATGAAGCCTTGCTTCCTGCTTACCTCTACCATTATAGCTGTACATTTATTGTCAGAGAATGATCTTCCAACTTGAAGTCCTGATGGGACTCCAAAGAGTTATGAAGTTGGATGCATGAACACAACAGGAGTCTTCAGGCTCTATCTTTAGTGGTTTTATCCTAATCCTTGTATTTCCAATTTATTGCTCAAATTACAATGTTTGATTGTTATGTACCCACTTCTTATCTGTGTGCTTTGAAATCGGGGCGGGCTCCATCAGAAGGAACAAAGATTGTGGTTTTTTGCTTACCACATCCTTTCTGCTTGCTCAGAAATTGACTTCATATGATTCATCTGAGACATTGTCCTCTCACAGCTCCAGACTGTAGCACTCATTGCCTCTATGTTTTGAAAGTTTGCAGACTGAATCTGATAGCACAGAACTGTCATGTTAACTAACACACAATCCAGGCTAGAGAGAGCATATAAGCAAACTTCTATTTAATTTAGCAGTTCTGCAAATGTGGACACAGCTGTCTGTTTTTAATTTTCACACCCACTGCCAATTCATGTGCAACAGATTGATCGTATGATGATTTGAAAACTCCTGGGAAGTGTTTATTGAATGGTTAGACAGATTTTAGACAAAGATTTAGCAAACAGCAAGATATGAAGCTGACACTTTGCAGAACATATATGCAATAGGTGTTGTTGGGTCAGCAAGGGATAACAATGTGCACAAGTAATTGATTATATTATATTGAACTAAAAGACATCCCAATACATTCACAGAATGGATTTCGTATTATTGGAGGAATCCAAACATTACTTGCAAAAGTTTTAATTTTGTAAAAAAAAATCATTTTAAACGGTTTTTCCAATTCCCATTAAGCATCTCAACATCTTCCATTGTTCTCAGGACATCTAAACTGGAAAACTACTTATTCTCTTTAATTTGTTCTTTTTCTTTCAATATAGTGGGAGTTAGGATTACCAGAATGAGAAAATCACAGGCCCTGAGATATCAGAACAAAATCAGAGCTCTGAAAATGACTTCTTGAAATGCCACAAAAGATGGGCCTCAGTCATGTTGTGAGAGGGATGTTACAAGGGACAGCTCCTGGCTATGTCATTAGGCACCCACTTCTGTTTTCAAGATAGTCCTCAGTAGTAAAAGGTGGCACCTCCTTTTACTACTGTCCTCTCATCCTGAGATTCCTCTCTCTCATCCTGAGAACTGGAAAACAGGGTCTAATCCCAGAGACCCATGGCCAGTCCTTCAGACATGGGAACCCGAAGACTTGGAGTGGTTTGAAAGCTCTTCCTTGTTGCCTTAATATCACACTGTTATACTATTATTTTCAGGTAATAATCAGCTACTGAGTAGAGTGCAGACATTAGGCAGCATTTGTATATGAAACCCCATTCAGAATTTAACAGAGGTGAATGTTGTCATTCTTTTGCAAGGAGACAGAAGCTTTTGCAAGTGAAGAATCCCAGAGTGGAAGGAATCAAAAGCCAAAATGTATTCAATGCTTAATTCAGTTATCTGGAGGGGTAATTAATCAATGCATGCAGACAACAAAACTTCACAGAGATTACTATGTTCTAAGAAGCTAGGCTTTTGCTGGCAACAAGCCCATTTATCGTCTATAATGCTGAAAAGGGTAAAACTGTTTCAGATGCCTCTCATTGGTTTTTTGTACTTTATATGTGTTCATACTGTGGTGTTGGTTAAGAGGGCCCAACAGAGATTGTATTATCTAAGACTTTTAAGGACCAACAATTGAAAGAAAAACTACTGGTGACTTTCTACCGCTGTGCTATAGAGAGTGTTCTAACCACTCTAATGCTATAGTGTGTTCTAATGCAAAAGCATCTGCTCATGGTTTGCTAATTGCACAGAGGTAGATACAAAGGCACTCCAAAGGGTTACCACTACTGCCCAGAGAATTATTGGTTGCTCTCTCCACTTTTTAGAAGAACTTTATAAGTCCCACAGCCTTAAGAAAGCTCAGAATATTCTGGTAGATGGTATAAAGGTAAAGGTAAAGGTTTCCTCTTGACACTAAGTCTAGTCGTGTCTGACTCTGGGGGGTGAGGTGATCACCTCTATTTCTATTTCTAAACCGAAAATCCAGCATTGTCCGTAGACATCTCCTAGGTCATGTAGTCAGCATGACGGCATGGAGCACCATTACCTTCCCACTTTTTTTTTGTCATGTCAGGAGTGACTTGAGAAACTGCAAGTCATTTCTGGTATGCGAGAATTGGCCATCTACAAGGACATTGCCCAGGGAACACCAGGATGTTTTGATATTTTACCATCCTTATGGGAGGCTTCTCTCATGTCCCCGTATGAGGAGCTGGAGCTCACAGAGGGAGCTCATCCACACTCTCCCTGGGTTCGAACCTGCGACCTGTGGGTGTTCAGTCCTGCCGGCACAGGGGTTTAATCCTCTGCACCACCAGGGGCTCCCACTGAAGTGGTACCTATTGATCTACTCACATTTGCATGTTTTCAAACTGTTAGGTTGGCAGAAGATGGGGCTAACAATGGGAGCTCATCTCGCTCCCCAGATTCCAACTGCCAACCTTTCGATCAACTAGTTCAGCAGCTCAGCAGCTTAACCTGCTGCTCCACCAGGGTTCATTCTACTAATAATACAATTGGATTTGTGGACATGATCCATCCAAAATGAAACATTTGTATCATCTTCCAATTTTAGTGGAAAGTTTGTACTTGAATTGTTTCCTTAGTAGAATCAATGATATTTAAAAGTGCTTAGCTCTCACCCAGCCATGCACTTTATTGTGCTGAAGTGAGAAATATTTTAAAGTCAGACCATATTTCCTTGGCTCAGATCTTGTATGGATCACAAAAATACTTAGATTTAACAGTATAACAGAGGATGAAAGGCTGAGTCACACATTGTAATTGAGAGTGGTATACATTTGGAGTCCAACATTGCCATTTGTTTCATTGTTTGTTTTTTTAAATGGCTAGACTAATTCTGATACCTGGATGATATCTTAATTCTTTCCCCCCTTATTTCGCATCACTTTTCTAGGCAGAACAGCAAGAAACAGATATTAAAAATACAACACCAAACAGCCGTGGCCTAAAACTGTTGATAACAGAGCCCATATTAAATGAGAGGTCGGTTTTCGCATCTTCTCCAGCAAAAAGTGTAACTACAGATGGGAAAAATGTGGATTTGGAAAAAGCTGCTTCCAAAAATATGGACAGACCAGGGTTGGCGAACACTGCAGGGCTTTATGTACCCAACAGAACTTATAGCAATGATAAGCAGAAGCCATGCTGGAATCAAAACCATTCTGCCATGGCCACAAATGATTTGGCAAGTCACAATAATGTGCCTGATGACTTGAGTCACCTCAATGCAGCTTCCAGGCAAGGAGCCATATGTGATATTCCAATGCCCATGGCCATGCCTGCTATGCAAATGGAAAGAGTAAAGGCAAGTGGAGAAAAGTCCAATGAAGTCAATGAGGTAAAAACAGCTCACGGCATTCTGCGTGCCACAGACACATCCAAAAGAAATTTCCAAAGAGCCTTGGAACCTAAGGTTGGAGATGATGATTTGTCATTGATGCATGAGCAGTTACAGAAACTTCTTTATGAGGAAGAAGACTGGGCCTATGACTTCCCTTGCTCAAGTGGTGGCATTATAGCAGCTGGGACCGACCCTGCCAAGGAGGTCAGGGGATGGAACATAACTGGGGATATAAGTGCTGAGCGGCCTGTGCCAGGAAATTTAATAGAAGATAATCAGCCTGACAGAGAATTGGCATCAGCAGTGAAAGTCCACAAGGATTTGAACAGCCTTCTAAAAACAGAGAGAGGGTGTAGCTCTACATCCACAGACAAGAACACTCTTATACTACCTGCAGATATAGGTGTCATGTCTTTGTGTTCTGACTTTAGACTTAAGACAGAAAAAATACCCCCATATCTTTTAAGCAGTAGTCTCCAAAAGGAAAGGAATCTGGAGGGTAAGCACAATGAAACAGAGTCCCATCACAATGGATCTGTTGAGATTGCCTCTTATCCAGGAGAAGAGATCACATCCAATAGCACTCTCAGTTTGTTAGGAACAGAATCTCCTTTCAGATTGACAGACACCCCAGGATGCCTTTTAGACTATAGCAAAGAATTTTTACCAACAGTACCTGCTAAATGTCTGGACCAGTTGTCTTCCATTGAACAGTCTGTTCATTGCCCAAGTGGCTATGCAAGAAAGCAGGGTGTTGCGATTCCTGCTGAAGAGTTTCATGTTGCACCAAGAACATCAAGAATAAAAGAATGTGCTCAGATTGCGGAGCTTTTGTTGAAAGAGGATTCATTTGCTAATTTATCTGGCAAATATATGGATCCATTTACAAATGAAGAACATTCTTCAGTTGCAATGGTTGATCAAAATGCGGAGGAGAAATTTCAGGAGAAAATAACTGAATCAGAATTGAATGCACAAAGTGACAGTAATTATGGCATTTACCATGTTTTGAGTGATAACAATAATCAAAATGTTCAGGCTAAACCTGACGCATGGAATTACAGCTATCACGCACAAGGGCATAATTCAGTTATAACCCCTGATTGGGATAGGCCAGAAAATACTGGCCAAACAAACAAAAGCAAAAATCAACCCATATTCACAGCATCGTATAAGATTAGGTTCTTGACTGAAATTCTGTTGGACATAAATGGAAATGATGAAAATAATGTCATCTGGGAACACAGAGAGTTTGAGGCAAACAGAGGACAAACTGACACAGAGTCCAAAAGGGTTTTAAAGATGCCAGTATCAGATTCACAAGAAAAAATATCAGAAAAGCAGTGTGGCACTGACTGTCACATTTGTGAGAGGGACAAAGAATTAGGATTAGATTCTGCATGCTTTCCAGCTCAGTCTTACAAGCCAGCTGTTTTAAACAGTGATCTCTCATCATGTATTGTCAGAAATGAGTACGATCATACGGGACGGGACAGGCAGAATACTAACACAACAATTTGTAATCAGGATGAGATTCCAAAAAATGTGTATGAAGGTGATACTCCAAATGCACTGGTGATAATTGAAAGTCCAGTGCAAAGTGAGCTTCTACAGACTGGAATTAAGAAGGATAAGGATATAAAGACACCTGAAATGTGGCAGAATCAGTACCAAATGGCAGAAGATAAAAGTGAGACTCAGGCAATTCAGGGTGAAAGAGAAAGACAGATGTCTATTACACATGATTGTGAAGATGTAGAAATAGAACCTTATATGAGGGCTTTAATTGATTCAGAACAGATATATTCTTGGCATGGCATCAATGAAACACAGCAGGAAGAGTGCCAAAAGGTAGAAGGAGATAGTCAGGCTGAAATAACCTCTTGTGAAAGAGGTGACAGGGAAAGCAAAGAATCCATTGAGTGTAACCTAGAGGAAGTTGAAGTGGAGCCATATATGAGGGCACTCCTTAATTCAGAACAGATATATTCTTGGCATGATAGCACACCCTCTGTGCCTCCCTCCATGGCCCCTGGCAGTGAGCAAACTGGTGCGTCTGTTGGAGGATTAGCCGGGGGATGTGTGATTACATCTACAGGCCCTAATCAAGCTGAAGCATTCAGAAACAGCGAGAGACAAAAGCTAAGTTCACCAGCGAATGCAACTGGAGAGTTAGGCAGCACCTTGCCTTCTGCCACTGAAAACAGATGTCATTCTGAGGAAAAGCCAGGGGCACAGGTCAAAAACAAGCCATACACTTCAGGAGCACAGAAAGAAGAGAAGACAAGGTTGCAGGAGGCATCCAAACTTTGCAAGCCGCCCACCCCTCCCATCAGTGTTGAAGACGTCAAACGTAAGCAGGAGATGGTCAAGAAAAAGATAACGCCTAAGGTACAAATTAAGAAACAGCGTCTCGAAGTGAAAGAAAATGTCTATAGCAATGCCAGCTGCATTAAAAAACCTGCAAAAGCTGAGGCAGATGTCACTCACAAGGAAGAAAAGAGAGAATTACGGAAAGTGCCTTGCAAAAAAGACAGCAAAGGTATGCATTGAATCCGTTGTTTTGTTTTGTTTTTTTTTTTCATTTTTCAGATTTAAAAGTCAGTCCTCTAGCATCAGCAGGCATGTCTTTTCTGAGAGCCTTCCTTTGTGATATAGGGTTGCCAGAATGAAAATTGGAAGGGACTAGTGGGTGTATTATTTTATTGTGTCAGAAGTGACTTGAGGAACTGCAAGTTGCTTCTGGTGTGAAAGAATTGGCCATCTGCAAGGACGTTTCCCAGGGGACACCCAGATGATTGAGGTTTTACCATCCTTGTGGGAGAATTTTCTAATGACTCCTCATGGGCAGCTGAAACTTGACAGACGGAAGCTTACCCTGCTCCCCGGATTTGAACCGCCAACCTGTTGGTTGACCAGTCCTGTTGGTACAAGGGTTTAACCCATTGCACCACCAGGGGCTCCTAATTATTTTGTCAGGTGCTGCTTCTTACCTGGTTGTGTTACACGCTGAAATTTGTTCTCCTACACAACTGTTAAAGGCACAGGAGACAGAAATTTCAGTTTGGCAAGCCCAGGAGATTCCTGGGCTCCCATGAATGAAAAGTCTGAGCCATACTTCTGAGATACAGGCCTTTCTCAATCCTATATTTTTAATGAAAAGATAAGCTCTTGAAGACCTGGCAAAACAGTTCACTTTCTTACATGACCAAGTAGAATACTTACCTGTGGCAGTAGATGTGAGCGAATGAGAAACAGCAGAAAGGCTTAAGAGAACACAAATGTTTAGGACAGTCTGCCACCTAACCTGGTTCTGCTGCCCATATAATAACACTATTCACCACAAAATTATATTTAATTGGTAGTTCAATCAAGTTTTGTACATTGTCCTTTTGTCTTCGGCCGACCCTATCTTCTTAGTTCCATCACATCATTTCATCAAATAACATTCCCCCTTACTTTTATTAAGGAAAATTTAAATATTTTACAGTTAGATGGGATTCAGGAGTGATAATAATTTATCACAGAAACATTAATACTCACCTGTGGGTTCCATGTTCAGGCCAGGTTTTACTTTTAGACTATATGTATGGGTATCACTATAATAAAACAGTACAAAAGTAGACAATCACAGAAGTCTCATTTTCACTTTAAGAGGAAACAAAATGTTCTTTCCATTTTTTTTGTTTTTCTAATTGCTATTTATAATTTTAAAACACACTCACATGTTTCAAGATCCTAGTAAAGAATATGGTAATTCTTTCAAATTTTCCATTTATAATCCACCTACAAGGGTGACTCAAGGGTCAATATGAGCATATAATATCTAGATTGGACCTCATATTTTACTTTTCATTGAACATCTCTTACTAAATTATATTTTGTTTCAAGCCCCCAAACTGCTGAAGAATATCCAAGCAGAACTATTCCCTGATTTCTCTGGCAATATCAAACTATGCTGCCAATTTGGTGACATCCATGAAGACTCCACCATTACATGGACAAAGGACTCTAAGCTACTTGCTCGAGTTCACAGAAGGTAAGAGGGTAAATACAAGTATTTTAGGGAAGTTGTTCTTATTTTGAAGATTAAAGTTCTGGTATTGCCTTTAGATGGAGAAAAATGAGACCTGATCCTGTTTAAAAGCCTCCAAAGAAGGAGCCTCCACCTGCCCTGAAGTATAGTGGAGATTCCTTCTTTAGAGGCTTTTAAACAGAGGCTGGATGACCATCTGTCTGAATATTATTTCCTGCTTCTTGGCAGGGGTTTGGACTGGGTGACCCATGAGATATCTTCCAACTGTATGATTCTATGAGAGAGGTACCCATGTAATAATAATGGGGCTGGAGTGGATATATAACATAGCTCAGACAATCTGGGTGAAATTGTTGATATTTGAAAGGATGTGGGGAGCAAATCTACTTTAAAGTCAAAGACCCCTAAGACAGGGAATCCAAAGTGTCTTTGTGGTTAGTTGCCCATCCAAAGCTTCTACCTGCACATCAAATTGAATAGGAAATACACATTTCTCCTGGTTACATCCCTCTCCACTATGGTGAGATGCATTGTACTTCTGCTTGACTTATAGTACCTATTTTGGAATTTTGATATATAGATGAAAAACAATGACATAGCAATTCAAAATTGCAGAATAAATGAATATATAATTTATTATAAAATAAATGGATGACATGTGGATGCAGAAATCATTCACCACATAGGAAGCAATCAGACTGAACCAGGAATTAATTGATTACTACCAAATATGGAGGTGTGGGGCTGAAAGCTATCAAGCGGAGAAGCATCAGGTGAAATGATGTTAGGGAGGGAAGTTAGAATTCAGATAAATATTGTAGAGGTGCATAGGACTGGTCTCCATAGGCATTAAAGCCCGGACTCAACTGTGACTTCTGGCTGCCCCCACAATTTCTCCAATTTCAATCAGTATAGCAAATTAAACTGAATTAATCTGGTTTAGCTCCTTATTAGTATGAGTCAGAGGATGATTTGGAGTTTGCTTGGGACTCCAGAGTATCTTCATAGTGTTGGGAGAGTGTGGACAGTAGGATCAGGTTGAAATCGGACCACTCCATTTTCCACATAAGACACTGTTGCAATTTCTACTCTTAGCTGACCACAGAATTGGCTCTGTCCTTCTCAGTCACATGATGTTGATATTAGCAGAGGCTCTTATCTAAACATGCAGAAGGTAAGAAGGTGGATGGACACCTTTTCTGATGTCAGCACAAGACACCTGTGATGGTCAGGAGGTCACATGGAGCCAGCTTAGAGTGCTGACAATAACACAGATAATAAAATGGTCTTGGCCCATCTGGACTGTGGCTGGATCTACACTGCCATATAATCCAGTTCAAAGCAGATAATCTGGATTTAGAAACTGGATTTTATGGCAGTGTAGATGAGGCGTATGTGGGCTCCAATTCTTCAGTGCAACAGGTTTGGTAGGATGTGTGTGGTCGGCTCTGGGGCTATTCTGGAGAATTTCAACTCCCGACTTGTCCCTGATTTTCCAGCAAATATAGAAAGAGCCATAGTGACCTGAAAGGTAGTGTGAAATAGTGGTTAGAATGCTGGTCTGGAATATTGTAGATCTCTCAACTCTACAGATACATGAATCTTCATTGGAGAACTTGGTTCAGTTACTCTCTATCAGTCTGTTCTGCCTCACATTGTTGTTGTGAGAAATAAATGGATAAGCAAAACGTCATGTATATCACTTGAAGCTTATCGAGAAAAGGCAGGGTACAAATGCAACATATAGTTGCATACTTAACACAAGGGAAAGGGAATGACAGAGAAAGGGAGACTGGAAACCAGACATTTCAACTATTTGATAGGTGGATTAGAGATTAACTGCAATTTGGAGTTTTGTCTTGTGGACCAAAACCAATAAACAATCTTGTGGCAGCTTAATGGCTAACAAATGTTACTTCACATAAACTTTTGTAGAGTCCAGCCTTTTCCATCAGATGCCAAACCTTGTGGATGAGAGCACTGAAATAGTGAGGCTGGTTTCCCACAAATTATGGATACTTAGGCATCCCAGTGGTCATGCTGTTCAGAGTATCTAATGACAATGGCAACAGACTGAAGGATGATGCCTTTGTAGGAAAGTAACACTTGAACATAATGTTCCAAGTATAAAAATAAGAACAATGAGAGGGACATAGTGTTCATTGAAGAGGGAGAAGAGGAAAGCAAGGAATGAAACCAGAGGCAAAAAATAGAAAGTATGTGATCTATCTATTTATTTGTTTGAGTCGATTTTTACCCCACTTTTCTCAAGGTGAGACTCCAAGTGGCTAACAATACAATAAGAACATACAAAGTAAAAAATAAAACAACCACTTAGGCTGAATACTAATTGAGTTTTAAAAGTGATTTCTTTTATAGGTTTGGTTACTAGAGTCAGAGATTTCCTGTATCACAGACACCTTTTGAGATATGTGTGAGGCATTTCTGGTGTGTAGAACATTAATAGAGGCTTCTAATGTTATGGAGATAGTAACATGTGAGGCATGACACTTCTGGAGCCCTATGAATAATGCTTTATGTATTTGGAGTGAAAAATCTTATATCTGCAACTATTTGAGTATTTATGTGTATTGGTTTTTATATGTGCGTGTGAATTGTTGAGGAACACAAAACTAAGTAGAAAACAGATTGAAAGTGTGACCCTGCAAATGTTTTCATGCATCTTTTCTAGTGCAGGTGATGACGTTCCAGTATCTTTGGCAATAGTTCAAGCTGGGAAAAAAGACCAAGGACTGTATCATTGCTGCTTGAAGAATATGTATGGAAAAGCCACTGCTGAATTTAGCCTCACTCCTGAAGGTAATGAGTTGCATATTTTCTCTTAGGTAAAATTACTGCAGTTTGACACCACATGAACTGCCATGGCTCAGTACTATGGAATTCTGGTATCTGTAGTTTGTTGCGATGCCAAAGCTCTCTGAGAGAGGAGGGTAACTACTATCTCACATATCACAGAAACCCATAGCCTCGAACCATGGTAGTGAATGTAACAAGCGGCTTTTATTCTGCCGTGTGAATATACCTGTAAACACAAAATATTATGACAGCTGCTAATTTGCAGTCTAAACACTAACTGTATTGCTTTTCCTCTCTCTACAGTGTTAGAACATCTTTCCAGTTTTCAGGATGTTGAAGGTAAACCTATGCAGCATTCTTTCAAATATGTCTCAGTAAGATTGTGCCACAGAAATGCCCAATATGTCTGTATATCACATAACTACAATTCATTTGTGTCAGGACTCATGAGAACTTGACTCTAAAACCCATTATTATGTTTGACCTGGAGGAAATGTGAAGTAGCCATACAGAAGAATGAATGTATTGGAGCATGTGTAGAGTACATTCCCATTACCATGGAGTAGACTATCTCAGAAGTTGGTACATTCTTGTTTTTGATGGTTTTAAGCAGGTTAGATGATCATCTTCCAAGGATGGATTCCTCATAGATTCTTGTACAGGCCTTTGGGATCTCTTTTAACTCTATAATACTATGTGTAAACTTATACTCAGATTTAGGGAGGTGCTTTATTGCGTCAGGAGTGACTTGAGAAACTGCAAGTTGCTTCTGGTGTGAGAGAATTGGCTGTCTGCAAGGATGTTGCCCAGAGGATGCTCAGATGTTTGATGTTTTACCATCCTTGTGGGAGGCTTCTCTCATGTGAGTCAGCAGTCCTGCCGGCACAACTAATTCCTGCTGATCTGCAGGAATTGTGTCGACTAGTGTTGTGTAGTGGTTTGGGTCTTGAACAAGGACATTAGAGATTTGGGTACAAGACACCTACTTAGATGAGCAGCTGGCAGTCATTCTCACATCTTCATCAGGCATAAAGGATTGTTATGTGGATAGAGTAGGGAAGAGAAGAGCTACATACACAGCCTTTTGAAGTAAAGGCAGGTTGTAAATATAATTAATATATAAGTATAAAATGTCCCATATTCTGCTTTTGACTTTCATTTTTACTTCTTTTTTAAACATTGTTTTATATATTCAAAAATATGAGTATTCAAAAAATAAGAACTCAGAACAGGAGCTTGGTAAATTAAAGAGAGAGAAACCCAACTACACCTAAATATAATGCTTTTCTGAGCAGTTCCCATGCACATTTTGATATCTTCCTGGCTCAGGGCTCTGTATTTTTTTTCATGTTGACAAGCTGTATATATCCATATATAAGTCAACCTCATGTATTACTTGAGAGCACATTTGGGGGGCAAAATTGATAAAAGATAAGATATAGTACTCACACTGACCTATGGATAAGTTGAATTGGAGTTTTTGGATTGATTTTTGATTAAAGTTTCTAGACTTGTACATGAATATATAGGATAAGATGTTGCTTTAGCTTGCTGGGTCCAAAAGCAGCCCTTGTGCCAAAGCAACTGGAGTGGCCCCTTTGGGACTCCACTAAAACAAAGGCGCCATAACAATGAGATGTTTTCATATGAATATTCCTGGTGTTTTGACAAATGGTCTTTGGTTAACATTACATAGTTCAGGGCTTGGCAAAGAGACAGGCAATGAATTATGAGGCAAACTACCTCCTTATACCTTGCTGTTCCCTCATCACAGCCATAGCATGCACTTTCCTGCACTCAAGCTAAATTGCCAAGAGGTTTTTTTTATCACCACCACACCAGACATATCAGGCACAAACTGGGATCCTGTTGGTGATGTATATATATATGTAAAATATGCTGCACATGCAGGATGGATTAATGGCCATTCTACAATAGCAGGAGTGGAGTTGCACATACAGCAGTGTTGTGCATTGTGATTGTGCAGTGCAACTGTGCATTGTCCAACAACACTCACTCAGTATAGCATTGTGTTGTTATTGTCTACTGTTGCCTTAATGTATCTCTGCTTGCTGATATTTATGCAAGTCTCAGGGATTGTTGGGTTGCATCCATGTTGTGTTAATTAGCTTTAGCTCACCCTGTGGTCACTTGGTCTGTTTCATCAACTAGCAGGATTAATCATTCATTTGTTTTAAAACAGGTGCATGGCTTTTCATTTGCTAATTGCAAATGCCTCCTTTAGGTGCCTTTGCTGTTTGGATTTGATACATACAGGATGTTGTTCAGAGGGAGCTCTCAGTTAATTTTTGGAATGGTAGGAATGCCCCGACCTTGTCTGATTTTGGAGGCTAAGCAGGATCAAGTCAAATTGTTCTGTGGATAGATGACCTCCAAAGGAATACCAGGTGCTGTAATTGCCTTAGAGGAGGAGGACAATTACAAATTACCTCCGACTGTATTTTGCCTAAGAAAACTATTGAATTAATGGGACAGGCATGGATCAATGTGAAGACTCACATGTGTGTATAAGATTCAGGTAAATTAAGGCAACTGTATTTGTCTAAGAAAGTAAATTGTTGGGAAAAAGCAGAGCTTGGAAGAGTATAGTACCCCAAATCCCAAAAAATCCCAGGAGATACTGTCCAAAAATGTTATTGTGTCAGAAGCGACTTGAGAAACTGCAAGTTGCTTCTGGTGTGAGAGAATTGGCACATGGATGTGTTACCATCCTGTGGAAGTCTTGTCTAATGTCCCCGCATAGGAAGCTGGAGCTGACAGACAAGAACTTACCCCCTATCTCACAGATTCGATCCGCCAACCTTCAGGTCAGCAGTTCAGCTGGCACGTGGGTTTAACCCATTGCACCACCAAAAAAGATAACTTGACTGTTTACTAATGGTAGGGATACATAAGTCAATAAACAATTGACAGTTAATATCTGTTCCGCAGCGGAATACTCTGCCTGAGAGTTTGGGGGAGTCAGCTTTTAAGGAGGTTTTTAAATAAAGGCTGGGTGGCCATCTGCTAAAGGTGCTTCAATTGTGTATATTTCCGCATGGCAAGGGGGTGGGCAGGATGGCTCTTGGGGTCTTTTGCAGTTCTATGGTGCTAGGATTCTAATTAAATAATGGCCTAAATACCCTACAAGCAGCAGATATTGTCTGATCTTTGAAGCTAAACAGGGTCATCCTAAGTCAGTGGTTCCCAACCTTTCCCTCTTGACCAGGGACCACTCTCCAACATTAGTACCAAAAGGGTTACAAATCAGTTTTTGGTCAACATTAGATTTGGTTTGGTTATTTGGGCGGTGATACAGAAAATTGCTTTGGATAGACCACATCAGCTCTAGTTTCTGATACAGAACATATGCCATCCAGTAATCGCTATCTGCTCATCCACAGAAAACCATATATAATAATCTAGAGCTGATATGGTAGTAGTAATCTTTCATGGGTAGTCAGCCTCTCCCCTCCCAACATCCCCATTGCCTTGGAACTATAAGAGGGTCTAGCAAGACCAGTCACTCTTGTTGCCCTGTAGTAATAGTGAGGCTGCGGACCATATTTTTGTTCTTGTGGACCACTGGTGGTCCATGGACCACAGGTTGGGAGCCACTGTCCTAAGTATTTAGACGGGAGACAGTTAATGAATACTAGGTGCTGTAGGCTTTATTTCAGAGGAAGGAACTGGTACATTCACATTGAAGACATATCCATTCTCACATTATTAAAAACACATGGAGCCTGTGGCTTACAAGAAACAGCTGAGTTGGCAGCCAGTTTGCGTTTCTTCCTGCATGGAAACAGAAATGTAGTATCTCTGAGGGCTGTCTTTCCAACCCAATATATTGTTATTGTAGAATTTGGTGCTGGATTGTTCAGCTATAATTTTGCAATAAGAAATCATTGGACAGGAAAGCAGCTCCATGAAGACATTTTTAAAAATTGTACGATAATATTGCCAGTTTTCAAAATAACCATAAGGCAGAGTCAAAATTTATGACACACAGAGTTGACAGTCAGGAAACAGCTTTTAACAAATTTGCATTTAGTTAAATATTAAAGAAAATAATTAATTTTAGTTCAGTTAGTAATGAATTGCTCTGTAAAAAGTGGCACACTGTCCACATCCATAAATTACATAATGGTCACAATTCTGACTCTATAAAATACCTATACCCAAAATATGTGGGGGGGTTTTGGCATATCATTCAATCTATATAAAAGATGCATTACATCTATAGAATAGGGCATTCATAATAATAGATACCTATAAGGAATAAGGCTATTGGTTCTCTAATAAAAAATACTTGGTATAGTAAGGGGCACTTGAGAACCCTATCATGCATTACAGCCAACATATTAAGGACTTCATAAAGCAGCATTCTGGATAAAAATTACAGTTTTAAATTTATATTACACAGCTCCGTATTTGTATAGTGATGAAGATATTTTGTCTATTATAGTTGAACAGTAAAAATGGAAGAACCTAGAGTATGTCTGAGATTTCCTCAAGATTTTTCCTTGATTATTTGATAGGCTTGGAAGAAATTGAATTCCTCGAACTTATGTTCAAAGAAGACTTCATCTGCGATAGTTATTTGAGTAAAGGCCTGCAAGGGAGGATCACCACAGAAGAGTTACATTTTGGGGAAGGGGTCCACCGAAAGGCTTTCCGAAGCAAAGTCATGCAAGGCTTGGTGCCTGTGTTCAGCCCCGGCCACCCCTGTGTCCTGAAAGTACACAATGCCATCGCTTATGGGACCAGGAACAATGATGAACTTGTCAAGAAGAATTACAAGTTGGCATTGCAGGTAAAGGCTTGCTGTGTTTTGCTCTTCATGGGGCAAGCTTCTGTTGATGATGTAAAGTTTTGCTTAATTCATTCTCCATTCTCAAACAACCAGAAACTACATTTATCTGGCATCTACCCATGAGTGCCATTTGGGAGTCTACTGCACTCTCATATTTTCTTGCCCTTTACAGAAATAGAGTCTTGTTGTCAAGAGATTTTCAAACTTTGTGGCCAAAATATTTTGGTAGGAGTTTTGCATGAAAAGCATTATTGTTGTGCCTACCCTCA